CTTGAACCCCAGTCGGCCTCGGCAGATGGCCGCTCACACTGAGCCTGGTTCTGCTGGAGGTTTCTTCCTATTAAAAGGGAGTTTTTCCTCTCCACTGTCGCTACAAGCATGGTTAGTGTGAGGATTGCCTTCCAGCCAATGAGTCAATTAAATCAACTGGTTTTCCTTAGATAGAAAACTTTGAATCAATTTGACTGTATGATCTGGTGAACTGTAAAGTGCCTAGAGATTACATGTGTTGTAAATTGGCGCAATAAAAACAAACTGAATTGAATTTAATTACCTGCTAAAAAAAACACAAAGTACTACATAATTTCAGTTAAAAGAAAAAAAGATTCAAAATATTTTTTTCACATTAAACTCTTTAAGGTGCAGCATGTATATTAACAACCCCCTTTACTCTGACCCCCCTGAACAAAAAATCCATACAGATTCTTTCAGTTAGCTTTACTTAATTTCCTTTTATGTATAAATCAAGTTGTTTAGTGAAGGACTTTGAGGTTGGTAGAGTAATAAAATTGTACCACGGTAGAAGTAGCACTACTTAGACACACTAAGTGTGTCTAAGTAGTGCTTCACTTATTCATACAAAAAAAATCCTCAAGTTAAACTAAAAAAAAAAGTATTTGACAAAAAGGTTACTCAAGTATTGAGTAATTATTGGATGATAACATCTGATTTAATGTTTATAAATGATGCGGACAAACTTAATGTGCATGTTCTGGTATAATAAGGACTCAAATACATAAAAAGTATAAATAAATGTCAAGAATATAAAAGAACAATCTCATGCAGAAGAAACACCCTTATCAAATCAGTTTGTAGGCAACACATTTCTTTTATTTAAAACAAGTCATAAGATTTTTATTGGGGAAAAAAATGTAAAAAAAACAATGTAATATTACTGTAGAGTGTCACTTTCCAAATGGGACGGTTTTATTTGGAGGGCTCCATGGCGGAGGACTCTCTCCAAGTATTGCTTTTATCCGCTGTTCATCTTTTTTTCTTCTCTGCTCTCGATCCTTTCTTATCTGTAGGAGAAACCCGACAACAATGAATATTTCTGTACTCCATCTGCTTTGGTTTTCTTCAGCATTGCACTTACCAGCCAGTTTTCGTACGTCTCTAATGCCAACTTTTCTCGTTCTTCCTTCAGGTATTGCTCTTCCTCTGCTTTTGTTTTAGTTTCCTTGCGCTCCTTCTTAAGCTTTTCGTGAAGGACGTCTTTCTTTTTGTCACACCTTTTGAAGTTGAAGAGGAGAGGTAAAACAGATTGAGGTGAGATTTATCATCTCATTGCAGGAGGGGTTAGGTGTAGAAGGGGTTGAAAGAGGAACATCCAGCTGAGAGTGCCACCATGTGTTTAACGATTTTCATAACAACAGAAAAACAAGAGAAAAGACAAGCATAGTTTTCATTTGAAGGCACAGCAGGTGAGAGAATGGACTTAATCTAGTCTATAAAGTTGAAACCTGATAGTTGAAACAGACGTCTATTAGCTAAGGAATAAAACGATCTGAATCAACTCATTATTTAACACTCACCAGTCAGAAAATGCAGATTTACTGTCTCTCTTCTTTTCCTCCTCTTCCTCCTGCTTCTGCAGCTTCTTTCTGCTTTCGATCAATCTCTGCTTTCTGTTTTTCTCTCTCAGCTGCTGAATGTTCTCACGCTTCCAGTTCTCAAACACCTGGAGTCATTATAATCGGACAACAGCTCAGCATCGACCTCATACACAATCATGTCTACTATACCTTTTTGAAGAAATTTGAGTCTACCTGTTTAGCAGATTGTCTCTTTTCCTCCTTCTCTTCACTTTCTTTTTGCACTTTTCTAATCATGCTTTGCGTTTCTTTGGCTTTGGCTTTGAGGCTTTCTGCCTTCTTTTCTTTCCATGCTTCATAAGAGACAATAGCATCTTCCTTTTTAGACTGCCTTTCCTATTTTTGGAAGACAGGTGAGCAGCAGTGGTTATGTAAACTTTACTAGCATTTGTTTTTGTTTAATTTAAAGATGGAAGAAATAAGTTAAGACTCACCTTTTCCAGTCTTTCCTTTCGAAGCTCTTCTTCCTTCTTCAGCTGCATGTTCCCTCGTAACTTCTCTTTCTTCTTTTTAAGCCATTCCTGTTGTGACCATAGAGGGTTTTTTTACTCACCTAAATATAGATTTTAAATACTTCGAAATACATAACCCTTGGCAAAATCTAAAAACAACTTGAAAATCCAGCAATCAAAAGTACTTGAGTACACAGGAAATTATGTAAAAAATTTATTCCCATAGCTTTGTGTTCACTTACAAACTAGGAGATCAGATTTTTTCCTTTTGTTTTACAAAGATCAAAGTATGTATCTGATCAAGTTAATCAGGTTTGCAGCCCTTCGTGATGTTAAGAGCAAAACAAATACTTCATCAGTAAACAAAGCCATCAGGCAAATATTTAATTTTATGTTTCCACGCAACGAGAAGAGTTATTATATGTGTATATATTTATATCTTTATTATCTTGAGTGTTTTTTTTGTACATATATATATATATATATATATATATATATATATATGTATATGTATAAACTGTATCTCACGGATTATTAAAGTACTTCTGATCCAGGAAGTGACACCGGTTTTCCCAGAAGAACCAGAAAGAAAACCTCATTTGCGAAGCTAGCTGCAGCGATCTTGGCCACCTGAAATGGCTGATGTTGCAGAACCTGATATGTAGTCCACTGTAATCTTGATTAAAGTTGTTTTTTATCGTCAGGCAACAACTAGAGCAAGATGTAATACTGACTCAGCAGCAAACTTTAACCCGTATTTGTATAAAAATCAGGCTGCAAACCTCCACCATCAGCTTTCATCAATATCGTCTTTAAAAATGCTTTTGCAAAATATTTAATTAAATGTAAGGATTTAGCTTAATTCTATGTGGTGGTGAAAACAAATAAATAAATGCTTTCATCTTTTTGTTTGGGTGTGTGAGTGTGTGTGTGTGCCTGTCTAGCCCCAAGAGTGAGGACCAGTTTTCCAATTTCACCACCCAACTGAGGACCAGTTGTTGTAAAGCGAGGACATTTTGCTGGTCATCACAAGCTATTTTGCTAATGGTTTATAATGGTTTAGGGCTGAAGTGTCAATTGGGTTCGTTTTAGGGTGAGGTATGCATTGGTAATGGTTAGCTTTAGGGTTAGGGCATAGAAAGGGTTGAAAATGACTGAAAATCAATGTAAGTCAATGGGAGTCAACACATGGTCCACACTTTGATGTATGTGTGTGTACCAGCAATGTAAATACAGAACATATTTTGACCTCATAATTTTGTAAACAATTTGCAGCATCTCAGAGCATGGGGAACCTCTGACTCAACTGCATCACCACATAACAAAAAAAAACACCAAACACGATGCTGACATGAATCTAGATCAATGTGGGCTCCTGTGGTGCCAGAGAAGACAACACTCATTCTGACCTGGTAAACTGCAGCTCTGATAGATTCTGCTGCTTGTGGTGACGACTCCTGTAACGACAGCCTCCGGTCCAGAACTTTGAATGTTCCCAAATATTTCGATTCCACCTTCCTGGAGCATGCACTCTGAGACCTTTCAGTGGTCTTAGAGTGAGAACTAGATGTCCTAATGCCACAAAAAAAAAAACATTGATGGGTAAATGTTTTTCGGCTTCCTCTCATGCAGCCTCATCAGTGAAGCCTACTCACTCACTTGGTGTCAAATGACTTTTCAGGGGAATGAGAACTTTGATCTGACAGACCTTGCACGCGTTCCTGTATAGAAAATTGAATCAGGTCAAAAGTATGTATAACAAAGACAAACCATCACACCCTTGCTGGCTAATACAAAGATTGACTTACGTTAAATTCTTCAAATGATGAAGAATAGTGTCTCACTGGCTCCAGGCTGTCATTGGATACAACACCATCTAA